CTCCAGACGTGAGGCGCCCTGGGCGGGGGGACGGGCCAGCTCCTGGGGCATCCGCTTCCCCCGCCCCTGGCCCCGGCTTGCCGGGTGCCGGGCCGGATGGGCTGCACGGTGAGCTTGGTGTGCTGCGAGGCGCTGGAGCCCGGGCCCCCCAGCAGCCCCCAGCCCCCGGGGAGTCCCCCGGCCCCGGCACGGGCTCAGTGCTGGGAGCCCCGGGCTTCGGCCCACGCCGAGAGCAGGCGGCTCCTGCTTCAGGTAGGGCGCTGCGGGGATGGGTGTGGGGAGAGGGTTGTGGCAAAGCAGAGTTCACCTGAGATAGGTAAGGAGCCACGCCAGGAAAGTGCCCGTCAGGCCTTGGGGGGTGGGCAGCAAGGGCAGGCTGCCCCAGGGGCGCGGGTTGGATTAGGTCCGGCTGAAGGCACAGAGTTAGGCTGAGGTCTCCCCTGGGTCTCTTGTGCCCTAGAGAGGAGAGTGACGTAGGACCTGACCCTTAAAAAGGTGAATAGTTCAGGTGAAGTTTAGGAGCCACCCAAGAGGGGCAGGGCTGGGAGTGCTGAGGAGACAGTGAAAGTGTTAATTTCCCCCAAGCTGGTCCAGGACTTGACCGTTTGTCCCTCCTGGGAGCTGTGACTGTTGTCCCTGACTAGGGCTCTGTAGCCAGGAGGGAGGGGGCATTCTGAGGCAGGGAGGACCCCACAAGAGCAAGGACCGACCTGAGGATGGTGGGAGCGGCTGAACCCTCACTCCTGCATCCTCTGTTCTGGGTAAGTCTTCGATCCTTGCAAGTGGGAAACGGACCCAGAGGGGTGGGGACAGGTTGGTGCTGGGAGGCTGGTGTTTACCCTGGTGGAGGTGTCTGTCCAGGAAGCACCAGGCCTGGTACAGGTGTGGGCACTGGATTTCTTCCAGGAGGAGGAACATGAGATATTTGGAGTCACTAAGGACTGGATAACCTTGCTCTGGGCTCCCAGCATAATCCCGGCCGACTTCCCTGTTTGGGGGCTATGAAAGCTGCAGCCTCATAAGATTTGTTTGCTGTGCGGAATTTGGATTATGCTGGGGTCTTGTGTCGCTCTACCTGGGCGCACAGAGTTTGGGCGACTCAAAATGTACCTGCGACCATATCCCAGCCCCCTTCTCCCCCTTCACTGGGGCAGCCAGTGAAGAGAAATATGTGTGTGTGTGTGCACATGTGTGTGTGTCTGAAGTGACCCCTCTGCTCCACTTGACTGGATGTCCCTCAGGCCATGAATAATGGCATATTCATGGGCATACTCCACAGTGCCAGGCATAGGAGTATGAAACTCTCTGTCCTTCCTAAGCTCTAGCCCAGGGCATCACCATGGTGACAGACCATGGTGAGGGACAAGTGTGGGGCATAGCTGTTGCCTGAGCCGTTGCAGTGGCCGGTGGCCCAGGTGTGATTCTGAGGACGACCTGAGCCTAGCTGAGGGCCCTGAGGGTAGAGTGAGGCCTGTGGGTGTTGGCTGGTCCTCTCAGATTGCTGCTGCTTTGTCTTGGCAAAGGGGCAGAGAGTCCAGAGAGGGAAGGTAGCATGGCAGAACCCCTGGACCCAGGGCCTCTCCGGAGGTGATCTAGGCTCCTCCCCTGCCTTAGAGCCTGACGAACCATCCCCTGTCCTAGAAGGTTTTGGGGGAACGGGAGTTCACAGTCCTCCTTTCTCATCTGCCTCCGTCTCACACCCTTCTTGACTACTTTCTCTGCTGGCGGGTCTCCTTGATTCCCTGTCTCCTTACCTTCCCGCTCCCCACGCAGCCCACTGTGGGGTAGGTGCCAGGTGGGCCACCCGAGGGACAGGCAGTTGACTGAGATGGGGGAAAGGAGCCAGGGCACTGGAGGTGGGTGATCCAGGAGAAGGGAGAAGGAGGGAGGAGTGTGTGTGTGGGTGTGTGACAGCCATCGGGACAGGGATGGGGACGAGTGTCTGTCTGCATTCGGATGAGCTGGTTTCTGAGCGGCCTCTTGAGAGAGCCTGGCAGTCTCCCATGACTCACTCCCTCCTTCATCTGCAGGATGACACTCTCCGTCCCAGCTCTAGCCCATGCCCACTGCCCCCTACCTCTGGCTCCAGCGGGGGGTGCTGTTGCTGGCTGCTCTCTCTACAGCTCCCCGCCACCCCCACCGCCCCCTATTCATATTGCAACTCTCAGGAGACTTCAGTGATCCAGGAAAGAGTAGCCAGGCTGTCTATCACCTTACTAGAGATGTTTTACCAAGTTCTTGTGGTGAATAAACATCTCTTGGGCTCTCAGCCCCCCTCAGAATTCAGGGCTTAGAAGCTACTCAGGCGTCTGGGCTC